CCTGTGTCACCCCTGCAGCTGTCATGGCCGCACTCCTGGTAGAGTACTGTCACTTGCCGGGGCAGCAGAAAAGTATGAAGCTCATATGCTTTGGCGAGTCATACCCATATCCACCAACCCACAGTCAATGCCGTAACCTTGCTACCCAGCAGAGAAGGCTGGAAGGACACGAACAGAGACGCTATTTTCCTGAAAGGAGCTGTTCTTTTGATGTAAGTGCAGAGGGCCCTCCTGACAATCCAAGGTGTGCCACTTCTTTTCCAGGGCATGGGTTGGGCCCGGACAGAAGTCTGGTAATATGATTTCCTGTGCCTGTGGACCACCTTGGGGAGAAAGGAGGGATTCAGGTGCAGAACCACCCTGTTTGAATGGAATACACACAGGTCCTTCCTTATGGAGGCGGCCACCAGCTCCGAAATTCATCTGGCCAAGGTAATAGCCACGAGGAAGGCTACCTTGCTGATGAGGAAGTATAGGCTGGTTGCCCGTAATGGCTCGAAAGGTGCCAAGGAGAGTGCCTGCAGGACCTTGGGTAGGTTCCAGGTGGGATACCTGTGTACCAGGTTGCAGGTTTAAGTTGATTGCTCATTTAATGAAGCTGCGCACAATAGGATGATGCACAGATCCTCACATGACAACACCGATGACAGAGCTATCACCTGCCTGCATATGGTGTTAGGGGATAGTCCCTTGTCTAGCCCATACTGAAGGAATTCCAGGATCTGGCCCACTGATACAGAGATGGGATCAATGTTGCCTTTGGAGCACCAGCTACAAAAGGCCTTCCAAATCGAGTCATAGATTTTGTTAGTTGACGGCCTCCTAGAGGCCTGGATTGTACAGATTACCTTGGTAGAAAACTTGCCCTGTCTCAAAACTCTCCACTCAAATGCCAGACGGTCAGTTGGAGCCATTGTGGTTCTGGGTGGAATAGGGCTTCCTGACTGAGGGATATTCTGTCCTGTGGAATCCTCCAGAGCCTGGATACGGACAGACTGGCCTGATCTGCAAACTATGGCTGTCTGGGCCAGTGGGAAGCCAGGGAGTAATACCTCTGCCTTCTCCACTAGCACCTTCCTGATTACCACCGGGATCAAGTGAGGGAAAGGCATAAAGAGTCCTTGAGGCCACAGAATGCAGAGTACATTGGTCCCCTCTGCCCCTGGTGTTGTAAATCTGGAGTAAAACCTCGGCAGGGTTTAATGGGGTTGCAAACAGGTCCAGGATCAGGGTCCTGAACCGTTCTGACAGTTCCCTGAACAGTTCTGGATGCAGGCACCACTCTGAGTGGCTGACTGTGGTCCTGCTGAGCCAGTACGCCTGTACATTCATTGTCCCCGAGATGTGTTCCGCTCTGATGGAGAGAAGATGCTTCTCTGCCCAGAGACCCAATTGCTCTGCCTCCCGCATGAGACCCCTGGAATGGGTGCCCCCTTGGCAGTTACTGTGAATCTTAGTGGCTACATTGTGTCAGAATGAGAACATGATGGCCAGAGACCTTGCCCTGGAACCATCTGAGGGCCAGATGGATTGCCCTGAGTTCCAGCCAGTTGATGTTGTTTGCTAGATCTTCCTGCAACCACTGCCCCTATACCATCTGTGATTGAAAATGGATGCCCCAGCCAAAGATTAGCTTGTTGATGTCCTGGTGGAAACGTTGATCATCACGTAGAGCTCTCGCTTGCATCTGGTGAAGCCAGAGTAAGGAGACTCTGTTGAAAAAAGAGGCAGTCGTTGCCTTGACAGCCCAGGCCACCACCTAATGGGCACCGTGAAGGGTCAGCTCTGCCCTTCTGTCCTCTGTTTTCAAAGTGTCCACTGTGTCTTGAGAGAGGAATGTAGAGGATGTTAAGGCTGTCACAGGTCCATCTACCATTGGTAGTTGTAGCACCTCAGTGAGGTCTGTAACTACATTGTAATATCTTTTGTCACTCTCACTTGGATTGGGGTATGTTCCTAGTTGGACCCATTGCCCCTGAATAATGACCATGTCCCGGAATAATTTGGGCGAGGGGATCTCTCATTCTCCATTGTTGGCTCTGAAAAGAGCAGTTCACTTGGGTCTGGTAAACCCTATGCTGGTTCTGACGTACTTGGCTCTGCTCCCATGTGAGCTGTGGTTTTGGCTTTATACAGAAGGGGTTTAAAGAGGGCCAGGTGAAATAGCTGTGTGAAAGCTAGGGGGTCAGGAGCCAATCCTTCATCCTCTTGAGAATATTAGTTCTCTTTGGTCTTTGTCTCCTGAGAGCCATTTCCTACTTTGTAGGGATGAAGTGTGTGAGTTAGATTCCCTAAAGCTCTCCAAGTGTCTTTGAACTTGGGGTGCCAGGTGTTGACTATGATCTAGGCAGGAGTCTGATGCCACAGAGGGAGTTTGGCTTCTTTGCAGCAACCCCCTACTTTATGGCTTCTGAGATCAGAAGTTTCATCTGCTCAGAAATTTCAGGTCCCTGGTTCTCCCCTGGGTGGAGCCCCGCCGCTGTGGGAGTAAACGTGGCCTCTGGGGCAGGGTTCCTCTTCTTTTAAATAGGCTCCCAATGGCTGGCAGTCTATTTGACTGTGGAGCAAAGGGATCCTCATTGCTGCCTTTTATAAATGGTAACTGTGGGGATTGTTCTCTGGCACCATCTGGGGACAGAGTCTGGGAGCTCAGAGTCTCTTGCTTCCTGGCTGGATCAGTTTGCAAAGAGTGGGAAATGATAGGGTCTCCCCCAGGGAAGTCTGCCCGTCTCCGTCTCTCAGCTTGCCTCTCAGCTTTGGAGATCTCTTTCTCCAGGGCTCTTTGACGCCTCTGGGCATCCCTTTCCTCAGCCTTAGAGGCTTTTCTGGAATGCAGGGCTTTTGCCCTTATTCAGCTATTCTTCCATTGCCTGCTAAGGGGACCTTCTGGGTAAATCTGGGGCTGTACAGGGGAACCAGGTCATCTCCACTCATGTGAGTCACCTCATGGCTCTCTGAAGCAGCAGTATCTTCCATCCTTTGTTTCTCCGTCCTTTCCCCCCCGCTCTGTTGAAGGATTTCCAGCGCCCTGCTGGGCAGGCGGCTGCTGAAAAGCACACCAAATGTTGGCTCTGTTTGAATGAGCTGGAAGATGGCGGCTGTGCTGGAAAGACCTAGGTCACCAGCCACATTGCTACAGCAGCTATGCTGGTTGGACCGGAGTAGCCAGCTGAGTCGTTGTGGCGGCTGTGCCGGTAGGACCGGGGAAGCCCATTGAATCATTGCAGCTGCTGTACTGTTTGTCTGGGAAAACAGATGATTGTTGCGGCGGCTGTACCGGTTGGACTGGGATAGCCAGCTGATTCGTTGTGGTGGCTCTGCTGGTTGGACCAGAGGAGCCAGCTGATTCACTGTGCTGGCTATGCCGGCTGAGCTGGGGAAGCCTTGTGTTCGCTGTTTGTGATCAGGTCGTGAATCCAGCTTTCAAGAGAATCCAAAGAATTTAACTCTGCATTTTTGCTCTGTGGAGCTCTTGCTAAATGCTCTTGCAGAAACTCTGGGGCTAAGAGTCAAAACTGTGACACAGTCAACAGAGGCATGGCTACAAAAAGGACTCCGTCTCTGGGCAGAAAGGCGGAGTTAACCCAATCTTTGGATTCTCTCGTCAGCATACTGGAGAACTAACAACTAACAAGCCACTAGATAAGCAAATAACTTTTAAAACAGGAAAAATGAATGGTTCATATAACAGAAAAATATAACAGAAGCAAAAGTCCAAGAAGCCATATAGGTACTCTTAAAAATATTATAGCACATTGTATTTATACTCATAAAATGACAGTCATAGGGAACTTGCCCATTCAGAAAAAGGCTGCAAAAGAAAAATACTGGGTTGCAGCCTCCCACCATTTTAAATTTCCTAAGAAGCCTTTAAAAATATGTTAGATAACAATTTGTCTGAAGTAGTGTAGGCAGGGGGTTGGACTAGAAGACCTCCAAGATCCCTTCCAACTCTGTTATTCTATTCTGTTCTATAATTGATCAGACTCCACTAGTATTTATAAAGAAAAGGACTGTCAAAAACAGTGCTTTGTTGGAGATAAGCTTCTTTAAAACATGTTTTACAGTATCCTATACTTACCAAGTTTAGGGAGAAAGTAGGGGATTACATAAATATGATTGTGAAACAAAACCTAAAAAACTCAGAGGATACTATTCTCTTAAACTACATACCTAATACTTGGAATTTGACAATCGGGGAATATAAATGGGCCCAAAGACTGAAATTACAGCATTGGGAAGAGAAATTCATGGCTCATTTTTCTTAATGATTGAAGACCTGATTGTACTTGCCACTTATTAGCAGACTGCCTAGACACAGACTATGTATCAATAAGTATAATGAAATATGGGACTGATTTGTACAAAATACAGTAGATTAAAAAAGATAGTTGTATAAATGTATCAGAAATATATCCTGAATAATATCTGCATTAGACAAATATATGTAGAATTCTGTTTATTATGACATTATTTTTTGCAATATTTCACTTTCATGTTATAGCACTTTTCATGTTCTTCTTACTGACTTTGTGTTTTTCTCTATTTTTGTTATTAAAAAACAGTGAAATACATATTTTAAAAGGTTGAGTGTTTATAGAGAAGATCTTTCTGATGACCATTGTGTAATTTTGTGATATTCAACTATTTTTCCAACAGATTCCCCTTATTCTACTCCTCCAGCTAAAATGGAAGCTGTTATAATCAAGTTTTGGGATAGGAAGAGGGGTGGGTTTCAGCTAAGATAATGTTTGGTCTGACCCTTGTGGAGGAGGACACCTTTACTTTTTTTTCCACTATGTTTTATAGATCATAGTAAGTTGCCTATAGAGTCCCTTTGTGAGATAGGTGGCCGTATATGTCCTGTAAGTAAATAAATACATTCATCAATTTCACAAGTGGCCTCTCATTAATATCACTGATCATTCACAGATTTATATAGCTTCCATTATTTACTTATTTTGTTGATACTCTGTTTTAGTTTTGCTGCTATCACTTACCTACGGTCCTCAGATTTAGGGATGGGGTTGGTGCAGCGTTGGCTATTGTACTTCGCCACATATTCACATTGCTTGAAAGGGGCAGTCTTATCCTCCAGGACATGCCTGATACAGAAGGCGTAGCCATTTAATCGCCTCTGCTTACACAGTTTGGGGCTGTAGGAGCACAACGGCTTATTGTCAACCTCAGAAAAGTGTATATGTTTGCCTTCATACATCACGTGACTCTTTTTCTTGTGAACATCAGCTGAAAGAAAACACCAACAAAAACATTAAAATGTACAAGGAGAAGCTGCTGACGCATATTGATGTTAATCTATATGAACATCAGGACTTACCTAATTTTAAATCTTCTGTACCATGTTAACATTAGCAGAGAACCTCAGAGATGCCACTATCTTGGAATGATGATGAGTCAGGATGAAATAGATTGTCTAAGAAAAAACATCACAGGAAAAATATATTAAAGAATACGTTTGAGAGAGTTACACTGGTTATGGCATAAAACTTAACTGTATTCAGATGTAGGTACCTTGAAACTTGCCAAAATGTTTTGGTCTCTAATTCCCAAGACGCAATTAGCCTGGCCAATAATCAGAGAATAGTTATCTAAATCTTTACATGCAAAATATACTGCAGATAACATGAATGTCCCAAGGACAGCTTGTTTCACTGAATCCTTCCATTTAATTATCGGCAAATGTACTTGGGTTCTTAGTTCCATCTGCACCACAACTCTTAGATTCCTTGAACTTCAGCCCTTTAACCACAGATCCCCATCTTAAAGATTGCATCATATGCAAATTAGTGTACAGCATATAGATTTCCAGAAATGTTTGTTTAAATAATAACTACTTTCATTGGATAATAAATGGAACAAGGGGCAATGGATCAACTGTTTGTTAAGTACCTCTTCTTAGCGCTAAATGATTTTCATTTCCTCTTTTGGGGAATCAATATATGTATTTCTGCTTGAAATCAAATATAAAATACACAAGTATTTTATTTATTTATTTATTGAATTTATATCGCCGCCTATTTGCCCATGGTGACTCAACTAAATTTACTAGTGAATTTTGAAACACAGGGCAAAGGAGTATATCTTAACCATATATTTTACCTCTAAAAAGTTTGTTTTTTTAAAAAAAATGTGCAGCTAGTTTTTGAATAATTATGGTATTGAATAATACCATAAGTATTGAATAATACTTAGGCAGTTGTTTCAGGTGTTTGCTAACAAACGTATTTGCTTTGCACCTTAACCAGGACCTTTGATTTATGAAATAATAACATCAATAAACATATGTTAGTATATATTAGCTATTTGTTCATCTGAGCAGATAAATAAACCAGACATGGATAGTTTGGTGAGATGTATACTGTAACCACATTGTCGGATATTAACACTGAACACTCCAGCAAGAGAATAATCAGGGAAGCCATCGAGATAGAGAAACACCCCCATAACATGAATAGACGGGATGATACCTCCCGCCTACCAGACATCTGGAAGCTAGCCCTCACCAACAAATGAGTCCCAGCCAAGAAAACCAACACCAGACCCAAAACAACACGGGATACCACCGCCAATCCCCCTCATCAGATCCAGGCCCAAGCCCATCCTATAAACGAAGGACAACCACCATCCAGAAAACAGACTACGGCTGCTTCGCCAGCTGTCGCACCCCCTGACTCCAAAACCAAACAAGCTGACACATGCCAAGAACACAGACCCAGACCCCAAACTCGAAGCCAGACTAAAACCCAGAATGCTACATCACAGCCACCCGCTCAGGATATCACATCAGAAAACTCAGGAAATTACACCACAAGAACTCTAGAAGTTGCAACACAGCAAGTGACCCAGGATATCACAGCACAAGACCAAGGATACCACAGCAATAAAATCTCATAAGGTCATCACATAACCCAATACCCAAGCCGTTACTACACAGGAGGCTAATGGAAAAGAGATCAAAACACAAGACCCAGGAGATTACAACACAGGACCCAGGATACCACAACAAAAGAACTCGCAAGCCCATCACACAACCCATTACCCAAGCCGTTAAAACACGAGAGGCTGGTCTTCCAGTTTGCCAGGCTTCGGTGACAGCAGGGATTCGCGTCTCTCTGCGATCCCTGCTGTGCTAGCCGTCTTGGTGCCTCCGATCCTGACAGATCTGGAGGATAAGGCTGCCCTGTTGGGGTAGCTGAAGATAGGGGGGATCCGGAAAGGGGTTGAGGAGTATCGCAGACCCCCTCCCCAGCCGGCAATAACCCCCTTTTCTCAAGGCGGTGGAGCGGCGGTCTTAATGGCCGCCACGAAGAAGCTGGCAACTGGATTAAGAATGCGCAGGAGGAAGAAGAAGGAAGTTTTAAAATGAAAGTTTTTTCTTGGCTGAACCGGGTCTTTAAGGACATATCTAATACCTGGAAAATTACTTTTTTTTTTTTTGGACACTACAATGTTCCCAATAGAGGTTTTCAGCGGCGAAGGAAAGTATTGAAAAGGGAAAGTTACTCTCCCTCCCTTATGGAACTAACAAATGGACATGGAAAATCTGTTTTCTAATAGAAGGTAAAAACTTAAAGCCCTTTGTTACAAGTGGGAAGGGAGAGGCTTGGAAAAAAAAATTATTTTAAGACTTTGTTGGAGGAGATGCTTTGAAGATAAAGAGATTAGAAGCTAACTGTAAAAAAGATTTAAAATACAGACTGGGGTTTTTTTTCCCCTAACTGACTTTACCCCTGGAAAAGAAACTGTAAAAGGAAGAAGTTTGTGCTTTGCCTGGACTATTTGATGACTTTGGGATTTTGGGACTTTGGGGAATTGTTTTAAGTTTGGAAATATTTGATTGGCTTAATAACAAGAAGAGGATACAGAAAAAGAAGAAGAAAAAGTTTATAATGATTCTATCTCTCGATGAACTAAAAAAACAATATCTAAAAATAAGGAAAGGCGGCAAGGACGCTATGGGAGAAGCCCTCTGTTTTCTAGATATGGCGCTTGCTATGTGTCAGCAAATTAAACAACAGTTGGAAGAAGCGGAGGAAGAAGAAGCCATTTTTAATGAACTAAATGGTGTGACTAAGAAAGAAAGGAGAAAGAGAGGAGGGAAAAGGAAGGACTTAAGAAATAAAAAAAATTTATGAAAGAGAAAAATAAGATGCAAAAACAATATAATGCCAGAAAGCAAAAGGAAAGAGAAATGCAACAGAAAGGGGAAGCCAAGAAGGCAGAGGTTTGGAGAGGAGCGGGTAAAAAGCCTAGGTGGGCCAAGAAAGAAAGGGAAAAGGGGGAAAAAAGTTACAAAGGTATAAAACAAGATCGGAAAAAGAAAAAAAATTTTAGGGACAAAGGGTAATGTATGGTTTTCTTTTAAAAAAAGGGGGGATTCTACAAAGTACATATGATAGTATTGTAGCAGTTGTATTTGTATTACAAATAAATAACTAGAACTCTTTAAGATTTAATAAAAGATTAAAATATTAAGGTACAATGTTAAAATGTTTAATAATGAATGATTTTAAGTTTTAATAAAATATTAAAGGGAATGTTTAAAATATTAGTTTAAATATAGAGTTTAATGGGCCAAAGTGTTGATTATTATAGACTTATTATTGTAGTATTTGTTTTTGAAATAGTAGAATGTACTAAGCAGAATCAGATTGGGATTTAGGTGTTATTTCAAACTTCAATTTAGGGGAATGATAGAAAGGCATCATATTCTGATTAGTGATTTCAGGGGAAATTATCCTTTTTTATATTGGGAATGAGATAGATGTAAATGGAAAAATGGACAAAAGATATAAAAATATTGTTTTAAAGCAAGATGAAATATATAAAATAGAATTAAGAAGAGTGGAGAGGAGTTATATAGCAGATACAGAATGGTAAACAAGATAGGTAATGGTATATAAGAAGAGCATGAATTTAATTGAAGTCCATACAAAAAGAGGTAATCTGGAGCCAAGTTACTTTCTAAAAGAAAGTTTTATGTTTTTCTGTTTTATGTGTGTGTGTTTAATTGAGAATTAATAAAATCTCGGAGGAAGACCAGATGAGAACAACTGTAAACAAGCCAGAGGAAAATATAAATGTGATGATTGAATAGCAGATAAATTAGAAAAGAAATGTGACTGAATAAGAGTAAAGAGAAATAATGTGAAATTTGTTAAAGGGAATTTACGTGTCTACATGGAAATGGGATAAATTACAAGTATGTGATATAAAATAATGTGTTACCTGCCTTGTAAAGATTTATAATGGAAAGAGGTTTTATGTTTTCAATGTCTAATGATGTTTTGTTTTGTTTGGTTGTTTTTAAAATCAATAAAATTTGCTTAAAAAGAAAACACGAGAGGCTAATGGAAAAAAGATCACTACAAAACAAACGACCCAGAGATTACAGCACAAGATCCAGGATATCTCCACAACAAAACTCACAAGGCTATCACACAGCCCATTATACCAACATCAACTCCATCAACCAATCAAGAGGCAGCAGTGCAGCCAACCAGCCCCCACCACCAATATTAATAGAGAGACAGCAGCTCCGATCACACACTGCTTGTGTGATTGGAGCCAACCAGCCCAGCACACCATCCCCCACCACCAATATTTATAGAGAGACGGCAGCTCCGATCACACACTGCTTGCACTGGCACAGAGCCAAAAGCACCAGCCTGAGGATGGCGAGTGGGACCCCGCCGAAACGTCGCCAAGATACTCTTAATCTTACATGGGAAAAGACCCGAACACATCTAGACCTACATACCTGTACCCGTGAAAATCTACGAAAACACATACACACACACACGGGATAAACTAAAAAGAAATTATGAGAATCAAATCTGTTCTATTCAATCTCATTTTCTGATTCCAAAGTATAATTAGAAATTTCTTGCTTTAGATGAATTCTACAAGAAATTACATAATAATATAACTGAATTGGAATACAACAAGATATGCATTCTTGGAGATTTTAATGCTATTGTAGACACAGGATTGAACTATAAAACACAGAAAGTGAATTAAAAAAAATAGAAAGATATTGCTGAAATCTTTCTTTCAGATGGCTGAGGAATTGAGCATTAAAGATATATGGAGAGAACTGAACAGTAAGAATAGACAATATACATTTTACTCCAATAGACATTTATCATGGTCAAGAATAGATATGATTTGGATGTCAACTGATTTGATCTCAAACATACAAGAAGTTAATATTGAAACAAGTACTTGGATGGACCATAATCCAATATGGGTCAAATGGAAGGGTCAAAGGAAAAGATCAAGATGGACTTTGAATAATTCAATTCTGAAAGAAAAAGAATTCATTAATAACATGGGGAAAGAATTGACTCTCTTTTAAAAATAAAAATAAAAAGGAGGAAACTTCACTACAAAATGTATGGGATACTATGAAGG